GGCCAAGATGGGGGATGATCAGAAACATCCCGACAAACATGGGGGATGATTCAAAATATCCTCCGAAACATGGGGGCTGTTTAAAAACATCCCCGCCAACGTCGGAGATGATTAGACTGATCACGGAAAACGTCGGGGATGATTAAAAACATCCTCACAAACATGCGGGATGTTTGGAAACATCAACGAGGTTGTCCGGGCGCGCGAAAACATCAGCTAAATCGTCTGCGCGCAAAGCAAACCTTTTCAAAGAGGTCTCCAGTCTTTGACATCTTCAGCAACAAACCCACGCCCTTATAATTGAGAGAGGTTCGGAAGCGCCTTCCCGTGAGGTGACGCGTGGAACACAAATGGCCAGGGTGTTGGCTTGCTCCTGAGATGTTAACTTGCAGGGTTGGCTTTGGAAGACCAAAGCTTGACTAACTCAATGTCTCGTGCGCAGCACGTTTCTGTTTGCTTGAAAAGCTTACCTGCGTTTTCCAATCAGTGGGCGGCTCCTTTGAAACTTGGCTTCCCGGGAAGGTTTCTTTGACATGTGGGCAAGCCCGATGGCCCGGGGACTTGCCCGACGGCCCGCCTGCTGGGGCGTGGCCCGCCCAACGCCAAGCACCACACGACCCCAAGAACCCCGCCCAACAGCCGCAGGCTTCCCCGTAGGCGGGGTGCTTGGGGTCAGGCGGGCCTTGGTTTTGGGCAAGGCAAGTGGTTTGGGGTGGTTTTGGAGTTTCGCGGCTTTAGGTTTTTTCAGGAGTGCTTTGGAGTTTGTTTGTCAGCGGTTTGGAGTCTGGAGTGTTTCTCAGTTGTTTGGCAAGGGGTGTTTTTTGCTGGCTGGGAGTGGCTTGGAGGTAAATTGGTTTGGAGTCGGTGTCAAATGTGTTAATTTCAATGGATTAGCGGGTCTTTCGCACGTTTGGAGTTGCTTGGCATGGCTTGGAGCGTTGGATCTGTTTTCCTGTGGGCCGCCGGGCAAGCCCCGGCTGTTGGGCGGGGCGCTTGGTGTCGGGCACGCCGGGCCCTGCGCCCGACGCTTAGCCCGACGCCGCCCTCAACGGAAGCGCCCGCCCGACACCCGACGCTCAAGCCCGATGCCCAAGACCTCCCGCCCGACGCTGCGCCCGGACTGCGCCCGACGCCCAAGATCCTGCGCCCGACGCTGCGCCCGACGCGTGATCCCTTGCCCGACGCTGCGCCCGACGCTGCGCCCGACGCATGATCCCTTGCCCGACGCTGCGCCCGCCCAAGACCCCGCGCCCGACGCTGCGCCCGACGCCCAAAACCCCTGCCCGACGATGCGCCCGACGCATGAACCCCCGCCCGCCAGCGCGCCCGACGCCCAAGACGCCCCCGCCCGACGCTCCCCCCGACGCATGACCCCACGCCTGCGCCTCCCCGCCCAACGCTGCGCCCGACGATGACTCCCCAAGACCCCCCGCCCGACGCCCGACGCTGCGCCCGACTCCGGGCCCACAGACCCCCCGCCCGACGCTGTGCCCGTAACCCGACGCGTAACCCCCCGACGCCGCACCCAACGCCCAGGACCCCCGCCCGACGCTGCGCCCGACGCCACCCTCAACGGAAGCGCCCGCCCGACACCCGACGCTCAAGCCCGATGCCCAAAACCTCCCGCCCGACGCTGCGCCCGCGCTGCGCCCGACGCCCCTGCGCCCGACGCTGCGCCCGACGCATGATCCCTTGCCCGACGCTGCGCCCGACGCTGCGCCCGACGCATGATCCCTTGCCCGACGCTGCGCCCGACGCACAAGACCCCGCGCCCGACGCTGCGCCCGACGCCCAAAACCCCTGCCCGACGATGCGCCCGACGCATGATTCCCCGCCCGCCAGCGCGCCCGACGCCTAAGACGCCCCCGCCCGACGCTCCCCCCGACGCATGACCCCACGCCTGCGCCTCCCCGCCCGACGCTGCGCCAGACAATGACATGACTCCCCTAAGACCCCCCGCCCGACGCCCGACGCTGCGCCCACAGACCCCCCGCCCGACGCTGTGCCCGACGCGTAACCTGACGCGCAACCCCTCGACGCCGCACCCAACGCCCAGGACCCCCGCCCGACGCTGCGCCCGACGCTGCGCCCGACGCTGCGCCCGACGCTGCGCCCGACGCTGCGCCCGACGCACGAACCCCCCCCGCCCGAAACAATCCCGAAACCGTGCCCGACGCCTCCCCGCCCGACGCCGCGCCCGACCCGCCCGACGCCGCGCCCAACGCTAAGACCCCGACGCCGCGCCCGACACCGCCTGCTCGACGCTGCGCCCGACGCCCATGACCCCTCGCGCCCAACACCCAAGACCTCCTGCCCGACGCTGCGCCCGACGCAGGACCCCACGCCCGACGCCGCGCCCGACGCCCAAAGACTTCAAGATGCCCCGCCCGACCGACCCATGCCCAACCCCAGACGCCGCGCCCGACGCCCAAAGGCCCCCTGCCCGACGCGCCCGACGCCCAAGACCCGCTCGACGCTGCGCCCAACCCTCCCAACCCACGGACCCCTCGCCCCTGAGCCCACAGCCCAACATATGGGCTCTGCCCACGGAACCGTCAGCTGCCAGCAGCAATTCGCGACACGCTTGGGATCCTCGACACCTTGCACGGGGCTGAGAGCCATGTTGGCCGCGCCCGCGCGCAGTTGCCGGGCATGGTGGCTCGGCGTCCGGGCGCATCGGCGTGCGTCGGGCGTGGCATCGGGCGCGGCGTCGGGCGCGGCCTCGAAAAACATCGCCGAAACGTCCTCGAAACGTCCTCGGAAACATCGCCGAAACAGCCTCGACGCGCGTGGTGTCGGGCGCGGGGATCGGTCAAACCGTCGGGCGCGGAGAAATTTCCTCGAAACATCCTCGATTCGTCCTCGAAACATCCTCAATTTGTCCGACGTCCTCGAAACAGCTCCGGAATAGCCGCGAAACATCCTCGACGTTAGCGTCGCTGTGTCCGCCCGGAGGGCGCGCAGCAAGATCGTCACGTTTGTCGTCACCGTGCGCGGCCACGGGGCAGCATGGCCAATCAAACGGCCCTACTACTGGCAAATCGTCCGCGGCAAGTACTCGACAATGCCGGTCGCTTCCCAGCCCTTGGCACGGCCGCTCGACCCCAGCAACTCCGCACAAATTGCCTGCCCGATGGCACGACCGACGCCAAGCCTCCGGCCAGCCAAGAGCCATGGCTTCCAACAGCCAGGGAGCTCGCTTCACTGTGCCCGACGGCCCGGCCAACGACCACTGAAAACCATGCCTTGACAAGCTAGATGCCAAGCCATGCCAAAAAAAACAACTGGAAAAGCCGCGATTCCAGAAACCAATCCTCGCCACTGCCGCACTCCCAGTCATGCCAAACCACGGAAAAACACCCCCGCACTCCAAACCACGGAAAAACTTCAAACCACTCCAAGCACCCCGCCCAACAGCCAAGGGCGCGGGCGCCCGACGCTCAGCACCTCGCCCGATCGACAGCCAAGGCCCCCGACGCCAAGCACCTCGCCCAACAGCAAGGCGCCCTGACTCGCCCAACACTGCCTAACAGCCAATTACGCCGGACAGTGCGTCCGACGGCGTGCCCGACGCCTTGCCCGACGCCCTGCGCGACGACCGTCGACAACCACTGAAAAACTACTCCCAACCAAGGAAAAACACTTCCAAACCACCGGCAAGGCCATTGAAAAACACCGCCCGACTCCCGACATCTCCCGACGGCGCCCAACGTCAGGTCCTGGCCCGCTCGGCGCCAAGCGCCCCGCCCAACAGCCAAGGGCCCTGGCCCGCCCAACCCCGAGCACCCGCCCAGTTGGGGCTTTTGCCCGCCCGACCGCCCGCCCGACGCCAACCCCGCGCGCAAGGGCGAAGTGCTGCGCATGGCTTGTCCCACCAAGCACCGCATAACAGCAAGGGCTTGCCCGACAGACAGCCTGCCCGACCGCCTGCCCCAATTGCCCTGTGAATCCGTCAAGACAATTAGCGGGGGCAAGACAATTTTTACCATGAAAGTTAAGGTTTACCGTGGGCAGTCTTTTTTTACCGTTGCCGTTGCCGTTGCCGCGAAAAGTTAATTTTTTAACGGGGAAATTGCCGTGGCTGCTGCCGTGGCTGTTTGCCAAGGCGCAGAAGATTCGCAGTAATTACTTCCAAACTACTGCGAAATTATCTCCAGCGCAGTAGTTTCGCAGTAGTTAGTTCCAAACTACTGCCAAACTACTGCGGAATTAGCGCCAGTGCCGTAGTTTCGCAGTAACTACTTCCAAAATTGCCGTTGCCGTTGCCGTTTTTGTTGCCGCGTTTTTTTTGCCGTTGCCGTTGCCGTTGCCGAGAAAAGTTACTTTTGCAAGTCAATTAAGAAGTCACTAGTTGCCGCGAAATGGGAATTGCCGTGAAAATGAATTTTTACCGTGGGACTCTCTAATTGTCTTGCCGGATTGGTTGGGAAGTGTGCGCCCGACAGTGCGCCCGACGGTGCGCCAGCGTGCCCGACGCCCAACTTTTTGCACCATGCCAACAACAGCCGGGCGCTTGCCCAACGGCCCGCCCGACAAAGCTTTTTGTGCCATGCCCAACAGCCGGGCATTTGCCCAACGGCCCAGCCGAGTCGCTTGCCCGACGGTGTGCCCGACAGCGTGCCCGACAGCGTGCCTAACGCTTAAGCTTTTTGCACCGCGCCCACCAGCCAGGGCGCTTGCCCGACGGCCCGCTTGACAGCGTGCCCGACGGCGTGCCCGACGCCAAGCTTTCTACGCCGGGCACAGCAGCCGGGGCGCCGGCAGCGTGCCCCACACCGTGCCCGACACCAAGCTTTTTGCACGCGCCCAACAGCCGGGGCGCTTGCCCAACGGCGTGCCCGACAGCGTGCCCGACGGCGTACCCGACAGCGTGCCCGACGCCAAGCTTTTAAAGATGCGCGCAGCGGCCCGCCCGACAGCGTGTCCGACGGGGTGCCCGACACCAAGCTTTTTGCGCCGTGCCCAACAGCCGACTCGCTAGCCCGACGGTGTGCTCGACAGCGTGCCCGACGGCGTGCCCGACGTCAAGCTTTAAATGACACCGTGCCCAACAGCCGGGGCGCTTGCCCGACGGCCGACAGCGTGCCTAACGCGCGCCGCGCCCAACAGCTGGAGCGCTTGCGCAACGGTGTGCTCGACAACGTGCACGACGCCAAGCTTTTTCGCCGTGCCCAACAGCGCGTGCCCCACGGCGTGCCCGACGGCGTGCCCGACAACCGCTCACAACGACCAAAAGTCACATAAGAAGAACTACAAGCACTTCCAAACCACTCCAAAGCTGAGGAAAAACCGCCAGCCCACTCCGAAGCACTGATTCCAAACCGCGCGCAGCCACTCCGAACCATGGAAATGCACTATAAACCACTCCGCGCCACTCGCAGCCACGCCAAACCACAAAAAGACCCAGTAAGCAACTCCTCAAACTCCTCACATCTGAGCTCACCCAACGCCACGCCGGCGCAACCCAGCCAAGAGCCCTGGCCCGCCCAGCCCCAAGCACCGCACCCAACAACCGGGGCGTTTGCCCGACGGCGTGCCCGACGGCGTGCCCGACGGCTTGCCCGACGGCATGCCCGACGGCGGCCTGCCCGAAAAACAACTTCAAACCAAGGAAACTCCAAAACGCAGGAAAAACCGGCAACCCACTCCGAAGCAGTAATCCAATCCAAACCTTCGTCAAGCTTTGGTCTCACCAAAGCCAACCCTGAAATCTCAGGAGCAAGCCAACACCCCTCCAGGGCAGGTGGGCATGGCTTGACGTGGCTTAGCGAGGCTAAGTGCCTGCGGATGATTCAGGGGATGATTCAGGGGATGGTTTTGGGCAGGGGGGATGATTCAGGGGATGGTTTTGGGCAGGGGGGATGATTCAGGGGATGGTTCTGGGCAAGGGGGATGATTCTGAGGATGGTTCTGGGCAGGGGGGATGATTCTGAGGATGGTTCTGGGCAAGGGGGATGATTCTGAGGATGGTTCTGGGCAAGGGGGATGATTCAAGGGATGGTTCTGGGCAGGGGGGATAATTCTGAGGATGGCTTGGCCCGGGGGTGATGATTTGGCGCTTGATGCGCGGGATGTTGTTGCACAAGGGGGATGATGTGAGGGATGATTCTGGCGGATGTTTGGGGGATGGCTTAAATAGACAGATGCGCTCTCAAAATTGGGGGATATCAGGTGGTGGGTGGGCTTCATTGTGCCATCTTCTGTGCCACATCTTGAGGTAAAGGGTGCGATTGGGTGCAAATGGCACATCCTGAGGTGACGGGTGCGATTTGGGTGCGACTTGTTTTCTTCCTTGCGCATCGGCTACTAACCTGCATGGTCTTGGCCTCCGAAGACCCCCTTGTCCCAGAATTGACTGATTTCAGACTGCTTTCAGACTGGTTTCAGGCTGGTTTCAGGCCTCTTTGTTGGCCACGTGAGCAGTCGAAAGGGCACAAAAAGTCTCCACCCTTAAACATGTTCGATTCCCTCAAAATCTCCACAGCAAAGTTAAGACCCTCTTATATTTACCACCCAGAGTCTCGACAAAACCTGAGATTTCTTAACTCCACCGGCAAGTTAAGAAACTTGCAAGACTCTTGACAGTACAAAGGGATTTCTTATCACACAGCATGACCGCACAAACCTTTCCACGGGTCGCCTGAATCTCGGCCTCGATTTCAGCGGCAATCCTGCGAGCACTTGGCCATCAGCGCACGAGAACCCCTATGCGTCCTAACAGTCAGGTGGGTGTGTCTCCAAATCGGAACTACAACACACAAAATTGTTGTTCCTCCTGGAAATTCCCGTTAGACCAGCCCAAAAGGGCTAGCCTCAACAAGAGACACACCCAGATTCCGGAACACCCTGAGCAAATAAGCAAATGGATGGGAAACTTCGACTAATCGACGTCATACAGCGACGGCTTCCGAACCACTGACTTCCTGAGTGGATGGGCTTAACAAATTTTGGACCCCTTGGAACAGGTTGACTGGGTGTCAAATCGGATCAAATATCTTGTTCTGAAGCAAGCAAGCAACACAAACAAACAAACAAACAAACAAGCAAACAAACAAACAAACAAAACAAGTATGCATCCATCCCCTTTCGGCTTTCTGTTAGCGGATCGTTTCTCTAATTTTTGCCAGGGTAGTTTCAGGGTCCAGGCGCCCAGTCCAATTCCGAAGCTCCGAATCTCTCCTGGCGGCTTGCTCTTCCGCTTCCAGTCGGCGCGCCAACGCCTCCTCGCCAAGTTGGGGCAGTGGGGCAGTGGGGCAAACTGCTTCGCGAAGTGACACGCGCAAACTACAAACACAATTTGAACCCCCCCCAAAAGGAGTTGTCATTTTTTGGGGTTCCACGTTCAGTTTCCCGTGAACGTCGTGGATTTGGGGGTGCCATGTTAATCTGAGAAGCACGCCCTGTGTAAGCCCTCCCTGCCTTCCCCCGCCCCTTTCGAGTTCTCGGTCTCACCGATAAAGGACCATCACCATAGAGTTCATTCACACCCAAAGCTCGAAATTGAAAAGGCAAAAGTTTCCAAGCCATCAAGAAGATAGCTGCTGGCACCCATGCCAATGCAGCTCATGCCATCAAGAAATTCGGTCGCACGGCTACGCACAGTTTTTCACATGACACGTTAGCTTCGCTGGCAGGAGGGCGTCCCATGATTGCCTAAGGCCAGCAGCCACGTGATCACACTTGACGCTGCAAGCGCTCGCCTGGCCAACTCCGGTTCAAATCCCAAACCACCAATCCAAACCAACCACTTAAGCCTTCCCTGATGAGATCCATTCAGAAGCTAGGAACAATACAAAAAAACCCTGGATGGTGAAGGCCACCTCGCTTGCTGCCATGGTCTTGCCATAACCCTGAAACCCCAAAAGCACGTAAGAAACATGCATGAAGAATCGACCGTGCACATACTTAGCTATATCTACATGCACTGTATATGTGTATATCTATGTATATATACAAAGAGATATGTGCATCTACATAACTCGTGCGGTTGCTCGCGGACTGCGAGCATACTGTGCACAACAAACACACTTCCATTCAACCTACCCAGAGCCCACCCTGAACAAAGTCTACCCATCCATAGAACGCTGATTCCTGAGCCAACTTGACCAACTCCAAACAGTCCCTACACCCCATCGCCGTCCTGGGGTGCCTCATCGTCCGGGACAAATTCCCGAAGCACTGGGATCATCCGAGCCACCACCTGAGACTTGCAAATGGAATTGCTCATATTGCCAGTACACCAAGCATACTCAGCCACAAAACGAGGGCTGCTTCGGATAAACTAGAAAAGCCGTTTCCGCATGAGCCAGGGTCACATTCTGACCGTTCCCCCGGTGGGGGTCCTGTGGGCGACCCACCGACCGACCGGCGCAGGGTCAAAATGATCGTTCCCCCAAGAGTGTCGTGTGGGCGACAAATTGGCGACAAATCGGCGCCTTGACCAGCTCCGCGAGTCCCAGCACCATTGCAAAGACCAGGGTGAGGAACATGGCCGCCCACAGCAGGCCCATGGCCATGCCCAGGGCGGGGAGGAGGAAGAACAAAGCCGCCCAAATGAAGAAGGGGTACCTGGGAATCGCATGGAGGCATTTGCGGGAGGGTGCTCCAGAAAGTTTCCTCTGGTTAAGACTTTAAGATGCTTTTGGGGAGTTGTTGGCTTGTTGGACCATGTACAAGACAAAGGGAAGCCACCTGTTTGGGTTGATGATTTCAGTTGTCTTGTTTAGGGGTGCCCGGGCTGCAGCGGCCGGCTTTTTATATATGTATCTGGGGCAGGGCTGAGCTTGGGCTTAGGCTTGAGCTTAGGCTTGGTATTTCCTTCAAAAAAACAACCCAGCTGGGCTTGCGCCGGGCCAGGGATCTCAGGTCGCGCAGAAAGGGACCGCCCAACACGCAAATGGTTGGCTTCCTGGTTTGCCCCTCAAGAAAGATAGGCGGGGGGCGGGGGACTTGAGTCGCAAAACCCATTGGAGTAGTTCGTGTGCGACTGCTTTGTCCTATGTTCAATACTCCAAATGCTGTCCAAAAAGCAGTCCTTTGGCACTGCAAAAACGGACAATCACGTTTTCACCAAACACATCAAACGAAAGAGCTAGCAAAACTGGAGCAGGTGAAAAGCAACAACAAAGTAGGCGCATAGACGGTCCAACCAAAGAGCAGGCAACATACTTTGTGAGATTCCTCGTTTGAGCAGCGGACTTGTTTCCTCAAACGGGCATGGTTGAAAATTGGATCCTGGTCTTCACCCTTGGTTTGTTCAGTCACCTGACACGCAAGCCGCATTCCGCCCACCAACGATCCCATCATACTGCCGCCTCTGAAGCCTACTCAGGGCTCTCTCTTGATTCGCCTTGAAGCCAACCCAGGAGCCACAGCTTTGGCAAAGCTCTTTCGTTACACGGGAGGTTGCGAGCGTCACTTCAAATGGCTGGACCCGGCTCTCACTGGGGGACCTTGGACCAAATGCTTCCCTTTGGTTTCCACGCAGAAACACAAAAACCAATAAGCCCAGGTGGCATTTTCACAACCCCCAGAAAGGAACTCTCCAAATCCCTGAAAGCCAGCCCTGGCCCACCCCATATCGCCTCTCTGGGCCTTTTGACCCCATAGCTTTTCAGCTGTTGTTTTTTGGGTCTTCTCCTTCTGTCCCCCTGCCCCCACTAAATCGCGTCGAACAGACACGGTGAGCTATCCTAAAGGCCCAAAAAGAAAGGGAGCAACTCCCTTGAAGTCGGCATCGAAGGACCCTTCGGCGACTCATTGGCTGAGCGGCGGCATGACGGCTTCTGATGCCGGAAGCCGGGCGCGCAGCCCGTGCGGTCAGAAAAGGGGGGGGGGGGGCGGCTCTAGTGAATTGCAGACATGGATGGGTGTGTGTGTGTGCGTGTGTTTTCTAGGGTGCCACTTCTTTTGGTTGATTTTCAATCAACTGTAGAAACCACCCATTTTAGGTGTTCCTTATTCTGAAAAGCACCGAAAGCTGAACAAACTGTTGTCAAAGTGATGTCTGTACAATGTAAGGCCCAACGGCTTGAAGCCAGAAACGGGTGAATTCTGTCGCAGTCAGTGAATCTCCAGTGGCTTCAATCAACTGGCTCATGACTTTGAACAGCTCAACATATTCAAGCCACGTTGACTGAAACTGGCCGCACATCCAAACACAAAGCTCACTCGAAGAAAATAAACAAAAAAAACAACACCGACGCCAAGCTTGGCCTTGAGCCAAGAGCATATAGTGTTTCACGGATCAGAACACTGAATATGAAATACAACGTTTAAGGAAAACAGGGCCGTTTTCAAAAAAGCTGCTTTTGCCTAATTCTACACATTCGTCCTTCTTCATTTTGCTCTTTCACCGTGTTTCTGCAATAATTGTCTGATGGTTGACCCATTGGCCCATGGTTTTCCCTCCCTCTGTCCACTCCAGTGCGATTCCTACATCTTTTTCCATGCTTGTCCCTGGCTTTTTCCCATGCCGTTCTATGTTGTTTCTTCTTAGGGATTCCTCGCTACAAGGCGCCATTCAGGGTAAGGAAAGCGAAAGGAAAACAGCCGGAGTCATCTAACCTGCATTTGGGTGAGGAGACCCTATTTGAAGTACTAGAAAAAAAGGAGCAAACAATAGGAGTACCACTTGCTTGGTGTCTACGGATGTTGCGTTGGTTGCTTCTCAAAGGTATCTCCATTAGGTCTCCTGGCAAAACTCGTGTCTGGACCATCTTTGCCCACCCGCACTGCAACCAGTCCACCCGTTCTCAAAACACAGTTCCCTGAACATAACTTTTCAGCTGGTTAGGAGGATGTTCAAATCCTCTTACGAGGAACCATAGGCCATTTGACCATCTGAAAGCAAGAACCCTTTTTGGGAGTGATTCCATTTTAAGTGGGTCCTGCTTCCCCTCGCCACCAATCAAAAAGGATTCAATTCGATTTTGAGAGCCGGAATCCATTGATTGCTCCATTGATTGCAACCAGCTGAAAAGCCTTCTTTTCGGGGTGAATTCCATTTTAAATCCGCCTCAAACCCACCAAACAAGAGATGTTTTGAAGGTTGGAATCCACTGGCTACAACCTTGGTCACGCTTACACCTTTACTCCTTCTGCATTGAGTCAACTAACCTGTTGCTGGCTGTCAGGGGGCTTTTTCGAAAGCCCGCACAGGGCCTTCATGCGCAAACAGGTTGCACAAGTTTTTTGCTGGCCAAAGCGGTCTTCCCACAAGTGGTTGAAGTCCAAACACTTCTGGAGGGATTGATGTCAAAAGGGCAAGGGCAACTTTCCAATCTGCAAATTCAACAATTCCGAAACTTGACATCATGGGGGGGATCCCGAATCCGGCAAAGGATCTGGGCTTTCGCTGGCAAGGCAAAAACCAAAAAAACAAGGTGGAACCGCTCGCCAATGTATGCAGATCCAATGTCTGGGAGTTGCATCCGCAAGGGGAGCGCCCTGTTTTTTTGGGGGGGTTCCTTTGGGTTTTCTAGGGTTCCGTATGCTTCCTTAGGGTAAGGGAAGAGGTTTCCTAGGGTTTCCTAAGGTTCTGTTGAGTTGCGGGTTCCTAAGGCTTCGGGAAACCAAAAGACCCGCCAGCTCTCTCCCTCTCTCCTCCTGCCCTTGCGCCAGCTCGGTGCGCCGGGTCTCCTCAACGCAGCAACCCTTCAGGAAACTGCTTGCTACACCGAAGAGTCTCTTGGTAATTTAGGATGGCCAGTTGGGCGTCTACCCGGGCCAAATATGTACCACGTTAGAAGGCACGAACTTCAAACTGCCCTTAGAAATTCGACTTTGGATTATGTACAACCAACGTTTGTGGGTAGTTTGAGGGTCGAATTCAGGTACCATTCTTTTGCGGGGGCTTGAAGGGGAACCTAAGCAAAACCGGGCCGAAGCAATTGTTTTGGGCTTCCCTTATTTGCAAGGAATGAACTTGACACTGGCAACCAGAAACATTTGGTGATTCCAAGAAACTCCTGGGTCCAAAGGAACACTTCTTGCTGGTTCTCAGGAAATCAGTCTTTGGGGGGTGTTGGGACTTTGAAATGCTCCAAGCTTGCTCATCGGACAAAACGACGAAGGATTCCCCAAGAGCTCAAGAGGGCATGACAAAAAAAGGCTCCTCCTCCAGTTTCGAGGGGGACAGGTGGAGCTTGCTGCGATCTCTCGTCCCTCCCAAATGGGGGTGGAGCTGCAAAACTGCCAAAGGGCAGCAGCCCATTTTTCTTGAAAACAGGGTGTATGGCTTTGGGTCAAAAAAAGGTACCCAAAATGGAACCCTGTAAATGGACACATGCGCTAAAACCTGCGGTCCCCTACTCGTTTAATTTTGACCCACGCCCATATTGTTTTCCTTGATTCATTGTCTGCGAAACTGTCTCCGATAGACGGTTAGGAAGGGCACTTGCCTCCTAGAACCAGGGCTTCAAATCCCCAAACCACCAATTCAAGCCACTTGCCTGCAGCATTTCTTGAGAACCCCCGCCGGGACTCCGCTTATGGCAAAACAAGCGGCAGGCCTCGATCCGGGATCGCTCCCTCTCCATACCTGGGAATGTGGCTCGTGCCCTTTCTTAAATGGGCGCTGGCAGTTGGGGTGGTCTCTGTCGGTAATGTGTCCTTTGGCCTAAGCCTGGGTTTGGGTAGGGGTGGGAGGATGCAAAAGCACACATTCACATGTGAGGCGGAATACGTAGGTCTGTACTGTTCAAACTGAGAATCTGCAGGTCCAGGTTTAAACCGTTGGAGGCAATTAAGATGCAACTGCCGGGGGCCGGTCTGGACTCGAAAGCGCTGCAACACAATTCGAACACAACTGGGCATTTCTTTGGAGGCAACCCTTCACGGGTTGCTGTGAAAGGGAAATCCAATAGACGCCACCGCATAGTTTGGGATCCTGTTAAATTATAAACTCTATTGTATATATTATTGCAGAGACAAACACACATCTTACGCAGCACATGTCGGAGCCTCGGAGAAGCTGCGTGCGTGTAGGCAACTGCAAATTTACTCGAGCGCCGGGCAGCGACATACTGCAAAGCGCTCCAGTCGCAGAGCACAAGACTTAAGAAATAAACGATTCAGTCTCACAAGCTGTCGAGTTGACTCTGAATCTGACTGCTATCGCCGCCCGCAACAGGAGCGCCCCAGGTTGTCAAAAAACCACCATCCAGAATGGCAGCAAACGCACCTTGAGTTGCTTGGATCTGCTGGACCTGCACCAACTGATTTTGCACATGGCTACAATCACCACCGGCGTCAGGATTGCCCCAAGCCACAACTGAGCCGTCGTCAAGAAGGGCGGCAAATGCACTTTCCGTTGCTTGAATCTGCTGGACTCGCACCAACTGATTTTGCACCTGGCGGCTATTACCGCCGGCATCAGGATTGCCCCAAGTCACAACCGAGCCATCGTTTAGGATGGCAGCAAATGCACTTTCAGTCGCTTGGATCTGCTGGACCCGCACCAAATACTCTTGCACTTGGCTGCTATCACCACCACAGTCAGGATCGCCCCAAGTGACCACCCCCCCGTCGTCCAGGATGGCAGCAAACGCAGAATCACTGGATTGAATCTGTTGGACTCGTACCAACTTTTCGCGCACCTGGCTACTGTCACCGCCGTAGCAACGGTCGCCCCACGTGACCACAAAGCCATCGTCTCGAATGGCAGCGAAGGCTTGGTCAGTCACTTGAATCTGTTGAACCCGCACCAATTGCTGTTGCACCTGTCTGCTGTTGCCACCATATTCAGGATCACCCCAAGTAACCACAAAGCCGCCTTCCAGAATCGCGGCGAAAGCGCCCAACGTTGCTGTTATCTGCTGGACTCGTGCCAACTGCTGCTGCACCTGGCTACTGTCCCCGCCAGCCTCACGATCGCCCCAGGTCACGACTATACTGTCCTCCACAATGGCGGCAAAGGCACACAAAGCGGGTTTTATCTGCTTAACCTGCATCAGCTGCAATTGCACCTGGCTGCTGTCACTGCCACAGTCAGATTCGCCCCACGTCACCACAGAGCCGTTGGCCAGGATGGCAGCAAAAGCACCCAATGTTGCTTGAATCCGATGGACGCGCACCAGCTGATCTTGAACCCGACTGCTGTCACCGCCCAGTTCTGGATGGCCCCAAGTCACCACAGAGCCGTCGTCCAAAATGGCAGCAAAAGCACTCTCGGTTTCTTGGATCTGCTGGACCCGTGCCAACTTCGATTGCACTTGGCTGCTGTCACCACCATACCAAGAATCGCCCCATGCGACTGCCCCACCTCCTGCGGCATGAAGCACGAATGCTCTGTGATTGGAAGCTATCCTTACAGGCCGAAAAATGGCATCAACGCAGTCCCCATCTCGCACGCCTGCCTCACTCAAAGTCGAGGAGGCGTCCAGCTGCTTTCCTCCAAAGGCAAGGCTCAAAAAGCGGCGCTGGAACTGCCGCTGTGCCTCGGCCTTCAAGTCACCAACGCTTGAGGGGGAAGGCAGCGCAACACAGCAGCTTTTCCCACTCGGCAAGTACACATGCACCTGCATGGCGAAACCTGCGATCCTTCTCTACCTCAGCTTTTCCCCTGCAACCAATAAAACATCCTTGTTGTTGACTTTAGGTGGGGCTTAAACCTACATCAGCTTTTGCACCGTGGCACCCCAACTCAAAAAAAATATTGATGTTGGGTCCGCATTCCAATGTTGAGAAGTTGAGCAACTTGCCGAGATCTGGCGTCGGCCTTGCTGGCACACTGGTTACACCCGGCTTCCAGGCGCAAAGAGGGAGAGTCTTGTGTG